TTATGAACTGTTGCTACAAGTAATACTTAAAATTTCTGTAAAAAAAGTTTTCAGTTTGTTTAGTTTGTGCGGTTGATAGCAATTTTGTGTACTGTAATTAGTTACAGGTCTTTCCCTGTATAATCAGCTTTTCTTTTTTGTTTGTGTTTGCCTTTCATATGGATACCAAAGAGGGATAAACGTTATATATTAAAAGAAAGTGTGATTGTAAAAAAAACCCAAATGTTGAACAGGGTCGTGAACAGGGGTAGTACTGGAAATGACCATTAATTCAGCTTTCGAAATTGATAAGATTCTAACTTGGCATTGTATACATGTGAGTTTTTAAAATTCATTTGTGACGTAACATGAAATTACTGAATTAGGAGCTGATTTTGCATACTCTTACTCAGGTGAATAGTCTTTATGTGTAAAAACTACATATGTGAGCAGTGGTTTGCAGAATTATATCCTTTGTTGGAAAATTTAAAAATAAATTCCTAAATTCTGTTCTGAACCTTGAATATGCCCATTTTCAGATAAGAAGACACAGTTGGGTTCCATTTTCCTATTGACATTTGCACATATGAACATACTATTCCTAAGAGGAATCTCAGAAATTTCCAGCGATGAAATTCATAATTACAAAACTGTCTACTCATTATTTATATTTTAATTGCAAAGGCTGCTGTCATTTTTCCATTTTGGAAAAGCTATGTGGCAGGCTTAGCAATCAGACTAATTTTTAAAAGAGTTGATATATTATATACTGCTTATCATGTCTTTGGGAGATGCTTTGTACTTTGGAGAAATTTGTCTTTTTAACATCAAATTACAAAGTTTCATAATAAGCAAGAAGAAAACTTCTGTAACCTAAAGGAAGCTACAGTATTTTGTTTAATATACCAGTATGAGATAGGGGAGATTCTTAATTATCAGGTATCAGAGTATAAGAGAGAGAGGGCTGTTCTCTAGAGAAAGACAGGTGAAGAATGCCTGAATATATGCCGTTTGAGATGATATAACTGGTCCTCAAAAATTATTGTAGGTAAGAAGTTTATTGTACAACACTTAGTCCATTGTATCCATGATCCATGGATCATGCTTCCATTTAAATCGGTGGGAGTTTGCCATGGCTCCAAGGGAAGCCAGTTTGCGACCCTGATGGGAGGGATGTACCTGAAAGATCTGTTATTGCTTCTGATCCATGGATCATGCTTCCATTTAAATCAGTGGGAGTTTGCCATGACTCCAAGGGAAGCCAGTTTGGGACCCTGATGGGAGGGATGTACCTGAGAGATCTGTTATTGCCTCTATGCATTTGAGATTTAGTCAAGAAACTTTTCACAGATCAAATAAAGATCCGCCTGTTTGACAATGACTTGTATGTATTGTGAATATTGCATAAAGAAGACGAAGGGGGATACATAACAAAAAAACTAACATACCTTCAATTGATGGCAGATAGATGCGATTCCTTTGAAGTCAATGGAATTACAGCAGAGATTAATTTAGCTATTGTATTTTTGTTTTGAAGAATGCATGTGTACAGTCTTATCTTTTCATCAATGTCTTCTTGCCATGCTCTCATTGTTCTGAAATGTAGGTCATTGGCTGGACACTGTTGCTATTAAAAACAATATACATGCATCCATTGTTCATTCATTGCAAAATCAAAGGGAGAGGGGGCATAGGTGGAAAGGGGATATTCTGTTTCTTTGTAAACTTTTTCCTCACTGTAAAACACTGAAACTACCCAGATATTTTATTTCTTTAAATACAGTGATGTACACAATAAAAGTATGTATATTTTACTTAGGGGCAGGTTATGGGTTGGCTATTGCAGGACTTTATGATAGTCTCCCACACAGACTATCTCACTGTCAATGTGTGTATAAATCTAGTTTCATTTCATATCGTATTTCTTACCCAGTGTCACTAGTTCAGTAGGGCTCTAGCCTGTTTGGGTAAATTGCTGAATGCTCATGACAAATTTGCTTTGCTCTCACTCAGCACTTGCCATGTAGATGAAATCAAACATATTTTCAGTATGGGTGTGTACATTTCAATAAGCAGTCCCTATATAAAATGGTTTCACAGCCAACCTGTTGTAGTGAGAGATCGATATGAACAACTGGAGATCCCTTTTTGAAATCTGGTGGCACAGTGCTGGAAATGAGGGTCAAGAAGTGGGTCCAAGATGCACTTAAAAAAACCCGTGGCTTCCCTGTCTATACCTGATCAATGGGTCCCTTGTAGTTGTTAATAGAAACATTTTTAGATTGCAAAACATCTTAAGTGTATTTGTCTGGTGTGTTAGAAATTGCTCATTAGAAGTTGTCATCATAGATCATGTCTTGGCTACACCAATCTGGATAAACCTGCTTTTGCTTCTCATATGGTGGTTGCTGCCAGCATTCAAGGTAGGTCATAGCTACATTTTTAGTAGATGGTAGTTCTAGTGTCCTAAAGCTGCTGCAGTTTGTACACTGCTCATGCCCAGGCATGCTTGGTTCCTTGCACTTGTGCTGCCACATAGCACACTGCTACCAGTCATTGTGTCACTTGCCATCATGCTGGGCACCGTGTCTTCGGAGATGTTAGCAGTGCACGGTGGGGCAAAACTAGATCATGCAGGATGATTATTGTGCTGCCACATAGCACACTGCTACCGGTCATTGTGCCACTTGTCATCATGCTGGGCACCCTGTCTTGGGAGATGTTAGCAGTGCACAGTGGGGCAAAACCAGTTCATGCAGGATGATTGGGAGCATCATTATTTGCCATCCCAAACTGGCATCCATTTCCTGTCACTTTTGTGCCTTGTTTAAAATCCCACAAATCTCCGCAGCACTTTTTGCTGTTCACCTGCTCTGAGAGAAACACGGAGCCCACACAGCTCTGCATGGTTGTCATGAGCTTTGGAAACACAGGATGCACAATCATGCAATATGTTCAGATCCACAAAAAGAATCATAGAACTGGTAGGAACCTTGAGAGATCATCGAGTCCAGTTCCCTGCCCTCACGGCAGGACCAAGCACCATCTAGATCAGTGTTTCTCAACCACAGTGGTACAAGTACCCTTAGGGGTACTCGAGAGAAGTCTAGGGGGGAGTACGTCAACACAACTGAAATTTGAAGAAAACTGAATTTTTGTTTTAAGTTTTACAGCAGCACTTTATTATTTTTGTACTTTTTACACCCAAAAATTTCATCGCCCGCCCAGCTACGATTAAGTTGTTTAAACAAATGTATTGGAATGGTAGAAAATTTTTGTGTGTGTCTGAAAACTGTAGATACTGGGGATACTTATAATATTTTTAAAGGGGTACTTTATAAAAAAAAGTTGAGAAACACTGATCTAGATCGTCTCCAATAGATGTCTAATCCAACTTGTTCTTAAATATGTCCAGAGATGGAGATCCTACGCAATTTATTCTAGTGCTTAAACACACTGACAGGAAGCTTTTCCTAATATTCAGCCTAAACCTCCCTTGCTGCAATTTAAGCTCATTGCTTCTTGTCCTATCCTCAGAGGTTAAGGAGAACCATTTTTCTTCCTCTTTCTTGTAGCAATCCTTTAGGTAGTTGAAAATAAGGAAAATCTTAGCAGTTACACGCCTATTCAATAAGCCTCTGCCCCACTCCCAGGGAGCCCTCTGCCATTCCACACTACTGCCTCTGCATCAGCAAGCAGTATACCAAATCTGATGGTCCTATCTTTTAGTTTAGGAAGAGTTTTTCAGCAAACAGAATCACAGAAAGGCAGACATTTCTATAATATCTAGATAGGTGACATAGATTTCTAATCAGAGTGACTTTAAAGAGATTATTCCTTCTTCAAACATCTTGCCACACCGTACCTAAAATTCTGAGTCCATTTCCCTTGTTCAGATGAAAGCAATGTACTGTAAATCAAAAAGTGAAGACAAGTTTGCCTTGAGGTTCTCAGCATGTGTAGGATTTTGCACTTGGTACTTAGGGATTGTGTGTAATTGGTTTTTCCTTGTTTTGTTTTTGTTTAGAAACATCATTTCTCACATTTTACTCAGCATTTGAGAATGTTCCTTGTTTTGTTTTTGTTTAGAAACAACATGTCTCACATTTTACTTAGCATTTGAGAACATTCATCCCTTATGACTGTATAGACCATTTAGGAATACCCTTTTCTAGATCTTAAAGATCCCTACTGCATGCTCTTCTGTAGAGTCACAGAATACCAGAACTGGAAGGGACCTCGAGAGGTCATCGAGTCCTGTCCCCTGACCTCACGGCAGGACCCAGTACCATCTAGACCATATTTATCTAACCTGCTCTTAAATATCTCCAGTGATGGAGATTACACAACCTCTCTAGGCAATTTATTCTAGTGTTTAACCACTCTGACAGGAAGTTTTTCCTAATGTCCAACCTACACCTCCCTTGCTGCAATTTAAGCCTATTGCTTCTTGTCCTATCCTCAGAGGTCAAGGAGAATATTTTTTCTCCCTCTTCCTCGTAACACCCTTTTAAATACTTGAAAACAGCTGTCATGTCCCCTCTCAGTCTTCTCTTTTCTAATCTAAACAAACCCAATTCTTTCAGTCTTTGCTCATAAGTCATGTTTTCTAGTCATGTCTTTACCCATTTTTGTTGCTCTTCTCTGGAACATCTCCAATTTCTCCACATCTTTTTTTATGTTAATTTTCCCTCTATCTTTGTGAATGTGTTCATGTGTAATAGTCTTTTCTTCTACATATTAATTCTGATTGTTTCTTAAAAGATTATGTAACCTGTAAGTGATTTACTAATTCTGCACACTTCTATGAGTTTGCTCCCATCAGAAGCTTTAGAAATTCTATTTGTAGTAAGGAATGAGTCTGTACCATTTAAAAAAGTTTTATTACAGTGCAGGCTTTTCAAAGTGTGATGAAGATGCTGAACAATCTAGAGGGCTTCACATTACCTAGAGATCTCTGGTAGAGCCATGCATAATACAAAGAAGCCAACATGCTGGTTTTTTTCCCTTTCTCTTTCCAGATACTCGTGAGAAGTAACAACCTTGCTGATAAGATCATAGTTTTATCAGGTAAAATTGAAGAAATCTCCTTACCAGAGAATGTAGATGTGGTTATTTCTGAACCAATGGGCTACATGCTGTTCAATGAGAGGATGCTGGAAAGTTACCTCCATTCCAAAAAATGGTTGAAGTCAAACGGTAAGTCAATCAGCACCATTGCCCAGTAATGGACTGGGGGAAATGACAATTTTCAGAGAAAGGAGACAAGGAAGCCTGAGACACCACTTGTTGGTGTTGTGCTGGATGTGTTGCCCTTGGTTGCCTCTTGTGTTATTGAATTTCATGTGCTATCATATGCGTTATGGGTTGCAGCTCAGTTCAAACTTTATAATGCAAAACATGATGGCCTGGCAAGCTAAACTAAAATGCAAGGCAACATAGGGAAGATAAATGAGGTCAAAGAATGGGAAATTGCATGAAAAAAATGTGCTTTTTCTTTGGACAATGAAAATGAAATTTGAAGTGTTTTCAGCAGCTCTAGTCAGACCCCACCCAAATTCCCAAATCCAGGGCCTCTTGGTTCTCTTCTACATTGATGTGTCCAAGCTAGGCAGCAACAACTGAGATCCACAGGTCATTTCAGTGGGACCTGTGTTTCAATTGGTCACTGATTAGAGAAGTTTTGAAGGAGGCTTTTAAGTCCAGGGTCTTACTGAGAAATTTCCTTATAGGCAAATCTAAACTTCCAGTTACTGTAAGTTGTATTTCATTAGGTGAATTCCTGAAAACAAACTTAAAGATCCCTAGTATAGATTTTGTTAAATAAAGAAAGACTTTCTGATATGGTACCAATGTGGAAGACTGTGGATTTTGAAGACTTTTATTTTGATCATATTAACCTAAGAAGGGCCTTATGAAGGTCTCTTAGGCCAGTGTTTTCAAAAGTGTCCATTCATTTTAGTGCCTCTGGTTTTTGGTACCCATCTACATACTCTTAGGATGTGTTTACATTGCAATATAAGCCCAGGGTTAGTGGACCCTGGAGTTGTGAGCCACATCAGTGTCCACACTCGCTGTTGACAGTTTCTGGATGCAGGCTCCAAACCCAGGACTCCACAGTATGCAGACCTAACTCAGACCACCATGTCCAATGGTTCTTAGCACACTCTCTAGCTATGGTCACTTTTGCCCTCACTTCCTGGTACAGTGTGAGTAAACTTGACTGTCCATCCCACACCTTACAAGAAATCACGGCAGCCTGCCAAGTTCCCAACATAACCCACCTATATTTTGGGTTTGCAAATTCCCAAGACTTGTGGCTCGCTCCAGTGAAGAGTCATCATTTGAAGTGCTTCTTTTCCTTGTGCTTTCACTCATGTTTCAGCAAACAGGCAGAACATCCAGGAGATGCTGGTGAACATTCCAGCATCGTTTTCTGTCCTATTGAAGGCACCTAACAGAGGAGGAGGATACACAAATAGAAACATAGAAGACTTGAACTGGCTGATGCTGCTTGTGACTCTCAGTATAGCTGCTGATGCCTCCTATGTAGACAGGTACTTATGAAGCAAGGCCACAAACACTGACTGTTGGGACCCCATTGTGATGCAGACCTGGGGTGACCAGCAGTGTGTCCACAACTTCTGCATGAAGAAAGCTCCATTTCTGGAGTGTGTGACCAGCTTGCTTTGGCCCTTCGGTATGGAGAAACACAAATGCAGGTAGCCACACTGGTCTAGAAGCAGGTTGTTATAGTAGAAAGCTGATTGCCTCCAGACTACTACAGCTCTGTTGCTAACTAATTTAAGTCTACTATGGGGAAGATGACTGTGGAAGTTTGAGACCAACAGCATGTGATTTACCCAAAAGTAGGAGATAAAAATAATAATCCTGAGGTAATTACTGGTTTTCCAGAATGGGATTTCCAGACTTACCAGGGCCATTGATGGGACTGGTGCCCACAGTTTGCCCTCCTCAAGAAGCACATGAGAATGTAAACAGTGAAGTGCATTACTCTACTGTCACGTGGGCCTTTGTGGGCCACAAAGACCAATTTGTGGACATCAACATGGCTGCACCGGATAAGTTCATCCCGCCTGGGTTCTCTGACAACCAGGAGTCTGCATTTGTGCACAGCCTGAGCCACTATTATGACTACACAGTATTGCCATAGAGTTACCGTACCCACCGTTATTCTGGGGGATCTTGCTCAGCCCCTTTTGTGCTGGCTTCGGAAACCATATCTTGATTTCAGAGGCCCAGGCAAAAAGTTTACTTATGCACCTGAGCGGTAGCAGAATAGTGATGACTGAACGTGTGTTTGGCAAATTGAAATCCTGTTGGTGCTGTTTGCAGGCCTGTTTGGATTCCAGTTTCATCAGGACTGACTGCATCACTGTGGCTTGCATTGCTCTTCACAGTCTTTGGGAAGCCCCAGGCCAGCCATTTTCCTGTGAATGGGGCTGTGCCAGTAATGGATGCTAAACCGGGAAGTGTACCTATCACAGCTGGGGCAGGATGGACCCAGGCAACGCAAATCAAGGATGCTCTCTGCTCCCTCATTATGCATTTACATGGGAGAGTGGTGTGTTTATTATGAATGTGCTTTTACAATAGTTATAGTAAACGAGGTACAGCCATGTCTTGTCATGAAATAGGGCTGTGCGGTTAGGGATTGATTGTTATGGATTGTACTTGTGAATGATACAACTGTCTATGAAATGGGGGAGAAGGGAGTATATGACAAGAACCGTAGATTTAATGCATGGCTTAATGTCGACAATGTATTGAGAAATAGTATTGGGTGCAAAATACCAGTTGGCCTTTCTCATGTGCTTATCTTTATTATGTGATGTTTTGGAACTGAAATGTTCTTAATAAAAGAAAAGCCCTTTCTTATTTTAACATGTTTTTTCTCATCCATGACCAGGCAGGTCAGCTGTCACAACACCAAAACCAGTAATAAAACAGTGCACAAACCAAACATTTATCAGTAAAACATTGCTGACAAATAACGCTCTACTGTTGTGTGTCCCGTTATCTTTTCCCTTCCCTCTACATTTAGCACATTCTTGGTGCCACTGCAGGGTGGGGAGGCATTTGCAGAGGTGATCTTCCACACAGGAATAGAAGCCTGTAAGGGGCTGAGCGTTCGTATGAGGATTTGCTCTGTTCAGCTTATTTGAAGTTCCAATGGCATGGCCATCCAGCCATTGAATAGTTCAACGTGTTCCTGGTGTCCCGCACGTGGTTCCATGGAATGGACCTCGGACATGGTATGGGTGCAGCAGGAGTCTGTACTCTGGCAGCCACAAGCATAAGTAGCCTTTCAAACTGGTCTTTCTGCTGGGCTCTGTCATCTCTCTCAACTGATGTTCCTGCTACAGAAACTGCACTGCAGGCCTTTGCTGGTGTGCTGAAATTCTGTGGTCTTGCTCGGCACCCCGCCTGTGCCTTTCTACTCACTCTGGTTCTGCACCCTCTTGTCGGCACCATCTTAAATGTCCATTATAAATTCGTCACGGAAACACTTCTATTTGGACTGGTCAGTTACAGTTTTATGTCCCAAGGACCTGCTGCAATGGGCCCATATTGCTGAGATGGAAGGACCAGCAGAGGTTGAAAGACCATCACAAGTTGAAGGGCAAAAGAGCAGCTATCAAACAATGCTTCATTGTTTCAGTACTTCACAACAGGTGCAGTCATCTGCAGGCAAAAGTGCATTGTGGAATCTCCATGGCCAAAAAAGTATCCAGGAGCTTTGTGGATACAGCTCAGTTAATCACAGAGAAAAGACGGAACAAACAATGGTGAAAAGCCTCAGAGGGGTAGCTGTGTTAGTCTGTAAGTGAAAAACCATAAAAACCCCGGAATAGTTCTGCAGCACCTTAGAGACTAGCAAATATTATAGATGGTATCATACACTTTCGTGGGCACAACCCACTTCTTCAGATGAATGGTGAGTTACTATTTAGAATTGTTACTTGTTCAAAAATGGCAGCCCTGGTTGGTCTGTGGGGAATGGTGGAGGAGCATGCCAAAGACACATTCAGACTTACAGTGACAGAACTGTCCATCTGTGAGTGAAGAGGGCTGGTGACTTACAGAAAAGGGCCTGGATAATATGCCCTTCCTCAAAATTTGACTGCTGGTCTAGAGTTTCTACTATAGGAAAAGTTTGTGGCTGTCAGTGCCAGGGACTAGATACAAATTTATGGGTAAATCAATAGGCTAGAGTATTAGCATCCACATGAATTATCGCCACCCCATGGCTCCTGAGGGGCTCCACAGGGATGCTCAAAAAACTAAGCAGCCAACCTCCTTTTCTCCCTTCCCATTCCCCCACCGCCAGCACATTTGTGAACGACATAAAAACCCTGGCCATACTCTGGGTATACATTTCATCACCTTTGGACTGTATTCAATCTTCCCCACCCCCAGCCTACAGAGTTTTCTGTTTTACAGGTGGCTTGTAACGTTGTGCTGTGCTGTACAAATCAGGCGTTACAGAGTAAAAGGGAAGGCAACCCACAGCACTTCTTTTAACACCCCAGCACCTCTCTGTAAGAATGTTCAAGTTTCTAGTAACAAGTTAATTTCAAATGCTTGTTTGCGCTTCTCAGACTCCATTTTGAATTTCACCTGGTGGCCAGGGTCGGGGGCAGAAGGGTGATGCCATTGTACCACCATGTAGTCCACCATTAGCAGATACACACTGCTGCTGTGGCTTGTAATACATTTTTTTATTGGGTCATAAACTGGAAACCCTTCCAATCCCTATATTAATAACAACTAACATGGTGCCAAAAATGTACCGAGCTGAGGAGTTCCTTCTGCCTCTTGTGTTTCTGCTGCCAGTTCTGTAGCTGGTGCTTTCTGAAGGGGGCATTAGAAAGCTCCTTCGAGGAGGGACCTTCAAGTAGGGACCCTAGCAGCAAAGCCTCCTTGGGGACCAGTTTGAGCACAGAAAAAAGCTCCTTCGAGGAGGGACCTTCAAGTAGGAACCCTAGCAGCAGAGCCTCCTTGGGGTCCAGTTTGAGCACAGAAGTCACTTGGGTAGTCTCATCTGGAGTGGCTTTAGAGGTGAGAAGGCCCCTGTCCTGCCTAACCAGGCTGGTGGCTCAGTGCAAAGCACAATATCCAGAACGTGGTCAGACTCCTTGAAAAAGAGGCAGGGTGATGGTGAATTCAGCGTGGTTCTTATGTTGCTTAGTCTATTGCCTGCAGTGGCCCAGCGAATTCCCAATGCTGCAGGCTTCTCTGGTATTTCTTGGAATGTGTCGTCATTCCTGGAACTCTTGCTAAAGTCAAACTGCTCACCTCATCCCAGGGATTAACCAGAATCAGGTTGTGGTCCCTTGACTAGCTAGCAACATGTTTGGCAAAGGACGTTTTTGTGTCAGTGGCCATAACAGATGAAGGAAATGGTTCACTGTCATTGCAAGTGAGCAGACAGAATAAAATTGAACACTTAAATGCTGAGCAGCTGTACTGGAGCCATGAAGTGGCTTCCCTTTACCTAGGTGTTGATTAACGAGAGCATACTATGAGACTGTAAGACATGTTTTCGACTCACAGGACTAAAAACTTGAGGGGGTGGGAGAGGAAGGCTGAGTCTGGTCTACGTCCTTACTGCAATAGATGGAGTTTGAACCCAAGTCAATGGGAGAGGAAGGCTGAATCTGGTCTACGTCCTTACTGCAATAGATAGAGTTTGAACCCAAGTCAACCCCCCCCCCACACACTACAAAGTTCTGAGACCAGCTCTGAGTCAGACAAAATGGTGTGCAGATGGAAGGAGGGTTTGGGTTTGAGCCTGAGTGTGAGCCTGGGCTTTCATTGTAATGTGGACATACCTTACAGCCTGATTTTCAGAAGTTGTGATGACTTACAGGTGGTAGTATCTTCAGTTGGAATTGTGGGTGCTTAGCACTTCTGCAAATTGGGCCCTTTGCAACTGAAATTGGACACTTAAAAATCTAAGGGAATCAAAAATGAATGGACATTTCAGGACGTAGGCCTTAATTTACCTGCATCTCTTTACCTATCTAGATCATGT